CCCAAAAAAGGGGGGGGGGGGGGGGGGTCCTTTGCACCAACTCCCATCTGCCTGGCTGCCCGTTTCCGCCTCATTAGTTACTACTCGCCCATCATCGCGCACCTCATCATCCATCGACCCCATTCGACTTCATCCGCCCTCATGCTCCCCGCCCGCCCCATGCTGAAATCCTCCTTCCGCACCATCGCGCGCATCCCGACAACACGGCCATCCTTATCAACTCCAAGCCTCGCCGTCTCCCGGCCCGTCATCGCCATTGCCGCACGGTTCGCCAGCTCCTGCTGCAGCTCTGCCCCTCCATCAAACGTCTTGGCCTTGAAGGGCTCCTCCGCCTTATCCCCCTCCTCGTTCTCGTCATCCGCCTTCTTCACTCCCTCTGCTTCCTCCCACCTCTCGCCATCGACATCGTCATCACCGTCACCGTCACCGTCACACTCCTTCACCACCCTCAGAATGTCGCCCGACGGCTCCCCGCCCTCGTCCGAAGAGGTGTCCAAATATCTCCGCCAGTCCCACGACCGCCTCTTCGAAAACAACCGCGCCTGGGCCGCCGAGAAGGCTGAAAGGGACCCCGGCTACTTTGCCAAGCTCGCCGAGGGCCAGTCCCCCGAATACCTCTGGATCGGATGCAGCGACTCCCGCATCCCCGCCGAGCAAATCACCGGCCTGGAGCCCGGCGAGGCCTTTATCCACCGCAACATCGCCAACCTCGTCTGCAATACCGACCTCAACGTCATGAGCGTCATCAACTACGCCGTGCGCCACCTCGGCGTCAAGCACATCATCGTCTGCGGCCACTACGGCTGCGGCGGCGTCAAGGCCGCCATGACCCCCAAGGACCTGGGCCTGCTGAACCCCTGGCTGCGCAACATCCGCGACGTCTACAGGCTGCACGAGAGGGAGCTCGACGCCGTCGCCGACCAAGAGCAGCGCTACAACCGCCTCGTCGAGCTCAACGTCGAGGAGCAGTGCCGCAACATCATCAAGACGGCTGCCGTTCAGCAGAGCTACGCCAAGAACCAGTTCCCCATCGTCCACGGCTGGGTCTTTGGCTTCCACGACGGCCTGTTGAAGGACCTCAAGATTGATTTCCAGGCCGTGCTGAATGACGTCCAGAAGATTTACAACCTGGCCGATGCCTAGGTGGGGGGAGGTGAAGCAACGCACATGCATTGCATCATTAGAAACAAGACTGGATGTCCACCAGCCACTTGGGAGAAAAAAAAAAAAAAAACTAATTTTGGTTGCCCTTGCGCAACTGGTGTAGAGTCGTAGATGTGAAATGAGCGATTAGGTGTTGACTACATGGCGTGAGCCAGCAGATGCAAATATGAATGGACACGGGACCCGGAGTTTGGTGATGATGATGGGAATAAAGTGAACAATAGGCCAGATTCTTGCTTGGACCAGAATAGACAGTCATTTTTGTACTCTTTCACCATGAGACTACCGGCCTTCTGTGTCCGTGTGTCTGTTGTCTGTGCCAGGCTCCATCTATCCCATTTCATCATCTATTGAGAGGGCGGGCAACTTGACTCTACATGCTCTCCCGCCGTGGCTTCGATGAAATATCAACGTGACAAGATGCAAGTCGCCTCAAATGCAGCCATACCAACCCCGTCACCAACTTCCCTCCCAATGTGTCCATGTATTCCCTTTCATCCGCAACTCAAGGCTCTGGTGTAGGGTTTGATGACACTGGCATGCTTCTAACGTGTATTATGTCGATTTTCAATATCTTTCTCAATTCGATTTGTTGCTAACTTTTGTACACTACTAAATATCCTACTGTTCTGGCGTGGTCAGGCGTTATATGTCTTCAGAAACCTTATTGACAAAAATTCTTCAGATATATGCAATGTAAAAAAAATATCATTTCCTTCTATTTAATATGTCGACCTAGATTAACACCTCATATATTAAAAACCTCTTTCTCTCTTGCAACATATCCATGGCAATTAACTTTACACATGTTCAGTCCCCTGAACAACACCTTGGGTACCGCGCGAAGAGCTATATCGGGACACGGAATCGCCAGTGTCCTTTCGTGAGAATGAAGCCCAAGTCTTGAAGCTGGACATGGACATGGTCTTGCGGAACTTGGGTCCTTGGTCATCGGGTCCTCCCTGGCCCCATGCGCCGCGTTGCACTGGCCTATCCTCCAGCAGGTGGAAACGGCGCTTGATAAACTTCCATGCCTCGATTCCGGCAACAAAGATCATGGTGAAGCCAACCGACAAAGCCCATTCCCACGAGATGCCCTTGTGCTTAAAGAACTTCGTGTTGAGGAAGGGGATGTACACGACAGGGAACACTGACAGGCCACCCAGAATAACAGACCAGAAGAGAAAACGGTTGCTGTACAAGTCCTTGAAAACGGGAAATCGGCTGTCGTCGTCGGGATTGAGGTGGAACATGGATCGTCGCAGACTCTTGAACTCCCAGGCTGAGATGAGAATGAGCCACGTCAGTTCGGCAAAGGTGGCCGCGCGAGCCCTGAAGACGGCATTGCAAACATCGGTGTATTCGGTGTTGCAATTTTCGCCCAGGTCGCCGTTATTAGCGCCGTAGATGATAATGCAGAAAGTGCACATTGTGCAAGCGCCCATGATGATTCCGTAAACGGTCATATCGACGATGATCTGGTTCGTAAACACACCTCGTCGTTTGTCCTGCGGTGGTTTGCGCATGACATCGGCGGCGGCAGCCTCTCGGCCGAGACCAAAGGCAGGGAATGAAGATGTAACCATGTTGATCCAAATAATTTGCAGCGGTGATACTGGGAAGACTGAGAAGCCTGTGTGGTCGACGAAACCTAGACCGGCGATCAAAAGAATGACTTCGCCCACGTTGGAGGTGAGAAGATGCAAGACAAACTTTTGAATATTGTCAAACATTCGGCGGCCTTCACGGATGGCGGCAACAATAGAGTTGAACTTGTCGTCAGTCAGGACAATCTTGGAAGCTGACTTGGCTACATCAGAACCAGAGCCCATGGCGATACCAACATCAGCGCGAGAAAGGGATGGAGCATCGTTGACACCGTCACCCGTCATGGCCATAAATGCTCCACGTCGTCGAAGTGCTTCAATCATGCGAGTCTTAGTGTCGGGAGCACAGCGGGCAATCACAAGGGGAAGCTCCTCGAGGGCGTCGATTTCCGCATCCGTCATCTTATCGAAATCGGTGGCTTTCTGAACAATGGACTGGGCAACCTTTTCGGGCAAGACACCTAAGTTCTTGGGAATGATACCGACTTCCTTGGCAATAGCCTTTGCAGTTTCGGGGTGATCACCGGTAAGCATGTGAACTTTGATACCGGCTTGAGAGCACTCTCCAATGGACGGTTTCGTCTCACGGCGAGGAGGATCATAAATTCCGGCAAGTCCAAGTAAAACAAGGTCTTTTTCAACATCGCCACGAAGCTTCTCATCTTCTGCGGCGGATGACGACTGCTTCGCGGTAAATCGACCACCCCATGGGCGGTAGGCAATGGCAAGAACTCGCTGACCCTGAGAAGCTAGAACATTCATCTGGTTGAGAACATCTTCTTTGAGTTGGTCTGAGATTGGTTGCTGCTCAGCACCAGAACCAATGTACGAACATAAGTCTAGAATTCTCTCCACGGCACCCTTGGTGAAAACCATGCTCTGCTCAGTTTCAATGATGGAACCGGTTTCGCCAGCAGGTGCATCGTAGATCACAGACATACGTTTGATGGAGCTGTCAAATGGAAATTCGGCAAGTTGTTTCCAGCCCTTTGTTTCAAGGCTCTTCTTGCCCTTATTGAAGCGATGAGCAAAGACTTGAAGCGCAATTTCGGTTGGCTCGCCAGTAGTCTGCCATTTTTCTTCCTCGTCATCATACCGGACAGTGGCAAGGTTGCAAAGAG